ACTGTGGCCACATGTGATCCCTGGTCAATCAGAATTTTATGGTTGCCAGAGGATCTGCTCCCCAGGGTAAGGTGGCGCATAGCCATGGCATGAGGGCACTACGTCCCTGTTCCCTTGTTTAAAAAAATTCCTGATCAGAAATACACAGCCTCCAATCAAACATGCCCTTTTTTATAAACATATTTTTATGTGAGAAGACTTAAATTTATGTTCAAATTTGAAGTGCAAGTACTGACATGTACCGGTAGTGCATTTTGCCAGAAAGACCATATTTATATTTGGGACTACCATACATCCCTCTGTCAAATAACATTTGAATGTGCTACCAGGCCAGGCCAGGCTACCAGAATACAAGCACCTGTAGACCAAGGTTCCTCCTAAAGTCGCATTTATTAGTTAATGAACCTCAGCCAGTAGATCCAGCCTTCCCATGGAGTGTGGGTACAACTCATCATATTCCCTTAATCTAGTATTGTACTGATAACTTCCATTGACCCAAGTCCAAAATCTCAGAGTTCACAAGTGCAACCAAACTATGTCTCATACATGTATAACATGCTCAAGAAACTGCATTCATAAATCTGAGTAAACCTTGATGTACCTTTAATAACAACTTGACTTCTTTGTTAATTCAGGTGTTTGTATATAACCAGAACCTGGGTTTGTTTCAGGATCACCACTATAATTCCCCTTAAAATGTAGCCCTAACACCCCTCTACAGTTTCCACAGAAATTGGTAATGGTACAACCCATCTGTCACTGATTCAGATCAAGTTCATGACAGGTTCAGGTCATGACATCACTAAAAACTCAAGTATTACAATCTTAGCAAATTATTTATTCTGAGAATGCTTAGTTGTTCTCACAGCGGTGTTGGGAGAGGTAATTTTGGATGAAAATCATGAAAAAGACCCACTTAGGATTTTCAGATCTGGAAAAAAAAAATATGTGCATATTCGGCAGAGACTTGTGAATCAACATGCCGAGTTGCATCGATAAATATTTTCAATAAGACTGCTTAAAGTGAAAAATAAAATAAAAAATGTTGTCTGGCACATGTGAATAAAATTGCAAATGGAAAAAACTCTAAACAAAACATGCTCCAACATACTAGCCTAAATACTGTAAAGTAATTAATTTTTAAAATTTGTTAAAACCTGTGTTTTGATATTATTATTGTTTTATTTTTGCTCTAAGGGATGAATAAGTAAAAATAAAATCCAGTGAAATAACTTTTTTTTCTATGTTTTTACAAACTTCCCACAAAAAACAGCCAAAATATCTTTTCAGCAAAAATTAATTCCAGTCAGAATGAAGTATTTTAAAATAACAATTGTGACAGTGTTCTAAATGTTCTCAAAGTTGCCTATAGAGGGCACATGACCTATCAACCTAGCCACATTGTATCATGAACTCCAGTATAATAGAGGGATAGAAAACTGTGAGAAAATAAAAGGAAATGCAAAACATAGATGCCAGACAGATGCTTGA